AAATAGTGCCACTGTGTAAACATTATGGAGGTTTCTCACATGTCTAAAAACACAATTACCATGTGATCCAGCGATCCTATCTGATCATTAATTTGAAAAACTGAAATCAGTATGCCATAGGTATTATTTGCACTCTCATATTCATTACAGCATTTTTCACAATAGTCAAGATATGACATTAAGCAAAATGTCCCCTGGTGAATGGATGAATAAGGAAATATGGTATATAATTAAAATAAAATACAATTCAGCTTTAAAAAAGAAGCAAATCTTGCCATGTGAAATAGTATGGATGAATTATAACAGTCTTATGCTTAGGGAAAAAGCAACTAGAGAAAAACAAATACCACACAGTTTCACTTAGGTGAGATATCTGAAATGGTCATACCCTGGACTCACATAAAGTCATTTGCCCAAAGGGTCCTTTACTGTCTCTCTCCTGATCCCTACCCTGCATAGACAAATCAGTCATCAGCTTGTTACTAAGTTTTGGATGAGACTGGAAACTTGACCATAACTATGCTACTTCTCATGGCCATTGTTATAATAAAAATAGAAATATAACTGAACATTGACAATATTCTACTATTAAATTATGAAATATATATATGAATAGGCCTTAACAGTTCCAGAGAAATAAGTAAATTTTCTTAGCTGACTTAGACTTTCATGGAAACTATTAACGCTTAAAGATAAACCTCAGTAAACCAGCATCTTAGCCTTATGGAGAAAGTCTTTAATAAAAGCAGAGAAAATATTCCAGGACCAGATATGTATGCCTTGCATTATATGCACAGAGCCCAGGAATTGGTCTTTGATATAGTCCCATTCAGAAATGTCTCTGAAAGTTAACAGTGAAACAAAATCATTCCAACTGGCAGACTATGAAGCACCACATCTGGATAATGTTTGGGGTCCAGTGGGGAGAGCAACAATGGCTTGTTTGTGTTACAAATATATAGAGTCAGGGCAGTGACTCATGGGTTGACTAGTTGAGCAAAGACTTGATATAAAGTGGAAGATTAATGATAAGAAAATCTAACATAGAATTATGTCAATACACCTCTTAGATTTGGCATAGGTAACTAGGATGTTCACATTCCATGCCACTTCCCACCAAAAGGCGTGAAATCCAGAAAACTGAATCAATAACAAGGTGGATTTATGACCTGTCCAATGGCTGTCGATTTCTTTTTCCTGACCTTCCAGAATTTGGTATAAAACTCATGTACAAATGAACAGTGGTAAACATTGATGTGGCTATGTCCCTGTAGTATGCTGTTTTTAAGTCCTTTGAGAGGGATAGCTGGATCAAATGGTGGTTCCATTCCTAGTTTTCCAAGAAATCTCCAAACTGCTTTCCATATTGGCTGCACCAATTTGCAGTCCCATCAGCAGTGTGTGAGTGTGACTTTTCCCCACATCCTCTCCAACACTTATTGTTGTTTGTATGCATAATATCTGCTATTCTGACTGGAGTGAGATGAAATCTTAAAGTGGTTTTAATTTGCATTTCTCTAATTTCTAGTGTGATCAATTTTTCATGTGTTTGTTGATTGATTGTTCATCATCTTCTGAGAAGTGTCTCTTCAGGTCCTTGGCCCATTTATTGATTGGGTTATTTGTTTTTTTGGTGTTTAGCTTTTTGAGTTCTTTATATACCCTAGTGATAAGTGCTCTATCTGATGTGTGAAGTGTAAAGATTTGCTCCCAAGATGTAGGCTCTCTATTCACCTCCCAGATTGTTTCTTTTGCTGAGAAGAAACTTTTTAGTTTGAGTCCATCCCACTTATTGATTCTTGATTTTAATTCTTGTGCCACATGTGTTTTATTAAGGAAATTGGAGCCTAATCCCACATGATGAAGATTAGGGCCTACTTACAATTCACAATAGCTAAACAGTGGAACCAATCTAGATGCCCTTTAATAGATGAATGGATAAAAAAAAATGTGGCATATATACACAATGGAATATTACTCAGCAATAAAAGAAAATAAAATCATGGCATTTGCAGGTAAATGGATAAAGTTACACAACATAATCCTACATGAAGTTAGCCAATCCCCCAAAAAAACAAATGCCAAATGTTTCTTTGATATAAGGAGGCTGATTCATAGTGTGATAGGGAGCGGGAGCATGGGAGGAATAGAGGAACTCTAGATAGGGCAGAGGGGTTGGAGGGGAAGGGATGGGGTATGGGGTTATTAATGATAGTGGAATATGATGATCATTGGCATCCAAAGTACATGTATGAAGACACAAATTGGTGTGAATATACTATGTATACAATCAGAGATATGAAAAAATGTGCTCTTTATATTAATAAGAATTATAATGCATTCTGCTGTCATATATAAATTTTAAAAATTACATTAAAAAAAGGAACAGTGGTGACTGGGATGGGGACTATACAGTAATGTCCAGCATGAATTTTCTCACTAAGGTCATCTGGCTACAGAAGCCACCACATACTTTATCTGTTAATAGCAATTATCTCCCCATGGTTTCCTAAGAAGTCACTACTCCCTAGAGTTCTAACTAGCCACAAGTAATAGATTGTCCTGGTCATCTTTTAAATTAGAGGATGCATCAGAAGTACTTATAATTTACAAATAATGGATTTCTCTCCCTCAATGTAGCATTGCTGCCATGAAATTCTGTGGACATAAAGAAGTTTTAGTGAAAATCATGGTGATAATCTTAATGCTGAACATGACCAGGTAATGTAGTAATAGGAAAGGAAATTCAACAAAGTCCAATGTCTGCAAAATTTGCAGATTTTTATCAAGTTCCCATTACTTAATGACAATTGTTTGAGATTTTATTTAGGAGACCATACCTTAGTTATTTGAAATGATAAATTGAAGGATATTGTGTATGTTTTAAATCATAGCCTGATATTGATGTCTTTTTATTTTACTGTGAATACATGGGTCCAGAAGTCAAGAAGTTAATAATGAGAATGGGGCCTCTAAGAAGTAGTCTTTACTTTTTCTCTTAGAAAATTTTGTTTTTCACTTTTATAATCTGGAGCTAGAAAGTTGGGGGTGTAATTTTAAGGAAAAAAATAAATGACCCAACCCAGGATTTTGGCCATAATTTACTTAGAGTGGAAAATATGAGTGTTCTGTTATTATTTTGAGTTTTCCTTTTCCAAATAGGAAAGACATTGCTGTCTTGTGTATTTGGTGACTGATCCAACTATGTTGCAGAAACACATTGGGACCAGGCAAAATTATGTCTAGTATAAAGCACATTACTTGGATACAACTTAATTATCTGATGTTCAGTAATAAAATACAGTAGAAAGTGTGAGAGACGTCAAGAAGCATGTTATCATATTGATTTGGAATTGATGAATTTTGCTTAATCCTGCCAGTTAACCTTGAGTACTGGAGAAGCTGCCAGAGGATACTCTTATCATATATATGGAATGTATGTGAACAGAATAAATTACCAACTTCAGCCTCTTCTGAATCTCCAAGTGCTATGGAACTTCCCTGGAGGAATTCTAACTGCAGAAAATAACCTGATCATGGAGCCAACATAAAAAACTCTTCTCAAAATACAGTAAAGTTGTAAAACTCAAAACACATCAATGTGAATCACCTTTTTAAAAAATTGTTAAAATTCATCAAATACATTTTCAGCCTTCACAAACAATTTATTTGCATTTTCTGTAATGCATATATTCACAAAGACATACATTGCCACATAGTTATTTTTTTAAATGGAGTAGTTTTCAATAAACTACATTAAAACAAATAAGACTAAGCCAATGAATGTCACTTATATCAATTATATATCAAATACTGAAATTAAAAGAATTATACACACCATTAAGTTTATAAATGTTATTAATTCAAAGATGATTCAAATAGTATTATTTGCCTTAAATAATAAATATTTATTTTAACATGTTCTTATTCAAGCTGGTAGACTCATGTATCTTTAGCATAAGAATTAATAGGTGAATTTAAACTTATAGAAACTGGAAACAGCAATCTTAAATTCTTAGTAAATATTTTTTGGCAGAAAATTAAACTTGATTATAAATAGTGATCATAAATTATGAATATTAGTGATTTAAAATATATGGATTAGCACTTATTAATAGTACCATTACTTAAAAATTTTATAAAATTACTAATTTTGTTCTTTTTCTAATTATATTCTCTAAAAATGATCATTTCGTCTTTAACATATTACTGACTCTGAAAAAAATAATTCATGTCTTCCCCTTCTGGAGACAGTATCCAAATCCTTACAGTAGAGGACAAACAAGAATATTTGTTGAAGAAAAGCAGGAAAAAGACCATGATTATCTAAATGTGTTCAATGAAAATGTTGTAGACCCACCATGATATACCGTCACAGTTATAAATTCATGCTGTAATCACTGTAACAATGGAGAAGCAGAGGAGTGGTTTTTTTTTTCTTAATTTAAAAATAAAATTGTTAACTAATTTCCTGTGGTGGTTATTTGATTTGTGTGGTCTTTGGGGACTTGTGAATTTGACTCCTGATTTCCTTACAACCATCAAATTCCATTTAAACTTTGTGCTTTCCCTAGGATTTGGTATATTTTTAGTCAGTTCATAAATTGATTTTTAAAAATTTAAAATTACATTATGAAAAGAACATATTTAGACTTTGTAGTGCCCCTGTGTCAGGAAAGTGAGAGGAAGAAAGGAAGAATGGGAAAGAAAGAATGGAACATACTCACTAGTTAATGGTCATGTTGAGACCTAGGCTTTTCTCTAGACTAAGTCAGAATAATGGGATTTTTGTTTTTCTTTTTTGTGGCACTGGGAATTGAACCCAGTGCATGCTAGGCAAGCACTCTACCAACTGAGCTATACCCCCAGCCCAGAAGGGGATATCTGAAAACAGAAAGCAGAGATGGATTTTCAGTAAGCTTTTTGTGTCTAGAATCAATAGGATTTCACAATTCTGGACTTTGCCAAACTTAGAAAGGTCTGTTTCCTCTTTTCTTGACCTATTCCCTTTTTTTCTTCTTTCCTGTCTTTCCAATTTTTTTACAAGAAAACAAACAACATTTTGTGACCATGAATATAACAGTCGTCACACAGGCCAGCAAGAATCCAATCACATCTAAAGAGTGGTACTGGAACCAGGTGAGGTCATGGGAGGCTGGCCGTAGGTGCTTGGCTCCTTTGTGGCGCATGACAAACTCGATCCAGAAGACAGCTCGGTCCAGGGGCTTTACAGGCTGATCATGATGAATTCTTGATAACCTCATGGCATTTTCTTTATAACTAAAAGGCAAATACATAAAAGTTAGTTTTTATTTTTGTTTTTTACTAAAGGTAAGATCAATATTATACAAGTTAAAACCCATAGATATGTTGAGAAAAAGTTTATCTTGCATGAACTTAGCCAGTTGACCAGGATTTTAAGTCATAAAAGTGTATATGTGGAAGAGATATATTCTTAACACAACATAGTTGTTAGATATAGAAATGTATATGTAGAAAGAAATAAAATATTCAGTTGTAAATAGATAGCCTAATTTTTCAATGAAAAAAAATTGATATTATGTGAGTTATAGTGTTCAGGACTGTTTTAAGATGAAGATGAGAATAACCCAATATTATTAGATAATATTATTTAAAACATCAATATGCACGGCCACTAACATCTGAACAGATCAAATGACAAACATGGGGAGTTAGTCATCAACTTTGATGACTCATTTTACAGTGTTGAGATCATTGCAGTGTGGTAATTATTCCTTTGCACACATTTGCATACTTGTGGTGAAAATGACAATGTCTTTCTTGGCAATGTCAGGACTGAATGAAAACACTGAGAATTGGCAAATCCAAGTGCATGGAGTTCTTGAAAGAAATAAAACTCTCCCTAGAATTAGAGCCCCCCTAATCAACATGGCACCACAATAGCAAGAATTATTGTTAATAGCTCTAATTGTTTCTCAAACAACACTGGGTAAAAGTCTATGTATTTAAAAGGTAAGATATGTCTTCATTCTGGTAGTTTAGCCAGACTAGTAGGTTCCAGGTTGGTTTGTGCTAGCAGGACATTGTTAGGATTGGGGAAAGGGAATGTGGTCATCATTCACAGGTGAATATGACCTAGAGACAGCAGCATGAGATTATCAACATGCATTCTTTGTGTATAGTGAAGAAGAGCCATCCTGCCATTCACCTGTAAGGTCAAGATAGTAATCACACACACATGGTCATTCTATTGCACTTTAGACAAAAGTGTATATGCTGTAAAAACTTTTTTCTGCAAATCAGATTTTTGTTAAGATTTTCACTTTTTATAGATAAAGATTTAAAATTTTGAATATAAATAAATTTTATAGATAAATGTATACATAGGAATACAGGTAAACTGTTTAATGAATAAGAATAATCAAGGATCATGTTCATAAATGTATTATTTCATATTTTTATGAACTGTTTTATGACAATGATAAAATATTTTGAATAATTAAAATTACTATGATTTATATGTTACTATGTAATCTTTTGTGCTTCTTAATTGCTTTGGGGAATAAGATAATGGGATACATGTAAATACATCTATATTCTCTACACTATACCACCCTGTGTTTTCAGAAAATCTCAGAGGCAGTATTAGGTTGAGGATTAGTGTGAATATATTTTAATTAGACAACTTTTAGTATTTACTTGGAAATTTCTGAGTATCTATGATTCTGTTTTCATGAATCAATCATTATAAAATTAAATTAAAATTTAATGGACATTCTATACATTAGAGGTAAAAAGAATTACAAAATCTATCAGCTTTCATGTTTAATAAAATGAACTAAATTATCAGTAATTAACATCCTGGTAAGAAAGAAATTGATTGAACTTCAAGAACAACATTTATAGGGAAAAAAAAATCATATCATACTAAGAATTATTGAAGTTCCTAACCCCTAGCTACCTCATAAATTATGATGTCTAAAAGATCCTAAAGCTATTAATGATTCAGAAATAGCTATTAGCAGTGTTTAACAACACTGTTTGACAGTATTAGTAATTATTTTTGAATGTTTAATATTGGGACCATTATCACTTTCATTTTGCACTTAATAAATGGTCTATAATATTTAAATATTTTTATTCATGAAATTAAACAGATTATCCAGAAAAACAATGTAAGTGCTTCTATTATAATTGTGTTTATTTTGAAAAAATGTTAGTAGATTATTTGAAACCAGGTTTTTGTTGTCGTTGTTGCTGCTGTTATATTTTCATGTCAGGAAATCATTTTCACAGTTAGGAATGAAATAAAGGGTTTTACATTTGTCAAGCTATATTATTTGACAATAAACCCATTATGAAGGTTGAGGCAGTGGTACTTTTCTAGGATTACCAATAACATAATCAATGGCAGATAAGTCTTTAAAAGAAGCAGTACTCACGAAGGGTCATTAATGACTGTTCTCAAAGCACTGAGCAAATCCGCACTTGTCATTGTGTTGAAGTTCACCTCCACAGCTGCTCCTTTGGCCCTCATGTGAGCGATGTTATCAGGTTGATCAGCAAACATGGGGATTCCCACCATAGGGATCCCATGATAAATAGCTTCATAGATCCCATTAGTTCCACCATGAGTGATAAAAGCTTTGGTTTTAGGATGACCTAGTTTGGGGATGGAGGGAGAAGTGGGTATGGATTTCAAGCTAACACATTAGCAAAGTTCCAGAGATGGAAGCAACAAAAAGCTATAGTATATAAGTCACTGAAGAAGGCAACATTTTTTTTTTTAACAAAAGCTAATCTCATTGAAGACAATGCTACCCTAAAAAACTGTGATCCCAGAAAGAGAATACATTTTTTCATTGTCTGGGAAGGCATTACTAAGGTGGTATTATCTGAGCTGGGATTGAAATTTGAAATATGATGATTCTTAACTGAGAATTAGGGGAAGCATGAATTTATGAATTTAATGGCCAATTGTTTAATTACAGCTGCTTTAAAAATGGAATCAAATATGAAAATGTTTAGTTATTAAATATTTTTAAAGTGCACTTGTTGTTATTCAATAGCAAGATTATGTGACAACAAACTTACAAAGTAGTGACTTGACTTTTCTCTTATCCAATGATACAACTTTTCTTCCCCCACAGTCTTACCAAGAAGGTCATTCTGAGGTAGCCAATCAAAAATTCGAGTATTGGCTCCTAATGTGGCTGGTTTCTTTCCTTGGTATCTCCATAAGACCTGTGGAAGACAATGCTATCATATTTCAACTACACACAATGAGAGTGTGTTCAGTCTGTAGACTTATTTAGGAATCACATACCTCCATACTACCAGTGATAGCTGATTGAGGGGTACATAGAAGGAGTTTGCAGCTTGCAAATATTGAGGTACATACTGGGACTGTTCATGTATATCTTTAAAGACTTGTATTCAGATTCTATTAAGTATAGTATATTTTGAGGATTATTACTTAAAAATTGCTGGAAGTGATTCTTTAGAGAAATAGGATATAAATAGGACTAGTCTAATAAATCAGAAAATGGAGGTTAAAAACATTGAGAGAAACACAAATTCTGTGTAAACTATTTCATCCTACATGGTATGTTTCAAGTGTAATTTTTTTCAAAAATGTAATTAGCTTTATATTTTTGTTTTTTTTCTCTTTTCTTTTATTCTTCTTATTTATTTATTTATTTATTTATTTTGGTGACAGTATTTTCTTCTCCATCTTCCTTCTCCTCTCCCTCCTTCCTCCTCTCCTTTCTCCCCTCCCTTCCTCCCTTTCTCCCCAGCACTCTCTCTAATTTCTTCTTTTTTTTGAGGAAGGATTAGATAACAATTTATATTCTACTTTTCAATAAAGTATTTTATTAGGATATTAACTATTTTTGTACACATTTGTCTTTTGCTAGAAAGGCAAATTTTCAGAGGTACTAGAGGTTGAACCCAGGGTCACTTGACCACTGAGCCACATCCCCAACCCTATTTTGTATTTTACTTAGAGACATGGTCTCATCCAGTTGCTTAGTCCCTCACTAAATTGCTGAGGCTGGCTTTGAACTAGCAATCCTTCTGCCTCCTCCTCCCCAGTCTCTGGGATTATAGGAATGCACCACCACACCCTCCAGAAAAGGCAAAATTGACCCCAGACAAGTATAGAAATGGAAACTAGAAGTTCTATTATGCCAAATTAGCATAGTTACCTTTGTACTTTTCTATGTAGTTTAACTAATATATAAATATAAAAAGTACCAGGATACTTCATAAATAGGATTATATAGAAAATATAAATATAAACTTATAAATATAAACTTAGAATGATATAAATATAAACATATAATGATAAAAATCAAGGTTAATTGAATAACAAATTAAAAATGAATATTGTTTGAAAATAATGTTACAATTTTAATTGCTTTTATCCAGTTTGGAAAAAATAAGTGAATCTAATCTTTTACTTCTAAAGCAATTACACTTTGGTAGAGTTTTTAAAAAACTCAGAAATTCAGAATACACTTTTTAGCATGATTTTTCTGTACTATGTATATAGTCGTCTCTTTTCCTGGACTGTCACAAGCCAGCCATGGGTTGTGTGTGTGAGCTATGCCACATTGGAGTACATGAGGGGTCTGGACTGACATTGCTGCTCTGACTGATATGTGTCCTTCTCACTTACTCTGCCTATGATCCCCACACAGCACTTGAGATGGGTGTGGCCTTCCAAGATGTCAGCCAATCTGCTGACCACAAAACATCACCAAGCTATCCCTGAAACCTAATCCCTTGCCTTATTTGGGTGGAACTTTCTCAACTATCTTCCCCCCAATAAATAGGGTTTCAGGCCTGCTCTCTCTCTCTCTTTTGCCTGCCTCTGTTGTCTCCTTAGTGGGAGGTGAGGTCAAGGAGGTATCACTGAACCACAAAAATAAAAGGTATTTTCTGTCTTCAGAAAATTTTCTGTCTACAGAAAATTCTGTACTTCAGAACTGGGAGTAGTCGATGGAAGCCAAAATGTTACAAAAGGCCTAATATTTACACCTCTATTCTGTTAAAATTAAGTAATTACAAAAGTGAGTTCTGATAGTAATGCCAAGGTTCTGTTAGGCAAATGGTCAAATGTGCCTAAGTTCAACATTGTAATATTATACAAATTTTTACCTAAAGCTGGTGTCAGTTATGCTCAGTGTTAATGAGTTTCAACATTCATCTGCAAAGAGTGTGATTAACTATACCGTCTGTCCCATTACTAAGAAGTTACTGACAAGAGTGGCAGGTCATACTGACCTTTTGTGGAATCTGGGCAAGGGCCGAGGCAATGAGATTGGCCTTTTCTTCTGTGAGGTTTTTGACCATTGACCCCAGAGAAAATGCAACAACACCATCTTCCCCTGAGCTCTGGACAAAGTCTTCCATTTCCTGTGGACATACATTTTTTTTTCTTTTTTAAAGTGCAGCATCATAAAGAAAAAAATGTTCACCTATACTTCTAAGTAGAAAAAGTAAAAACTAATGTCAGAGAAATTGTTAGGCTGATTCTATCTTTTGACATATAACTATCTAGTCTCTTTAAAAGGAAGTATATCCCTGAAACTTATGGCTAATATGTATTGTAAGTAATTGCAAGTACAAATATGAATCAAATCACTATAGAGAAAAATAGCCAATGATGGCAGCTCTTCTCATGGTTAGTGCAATTGTTATTCTCAAGGTATCATTTTACCAACCAACAGAATTATCTACAAACTGATAAAAATATTTCATAGCAGGAAGCCCAAGAAAGGATCCATATCTAGGCTTTTATATTATCAATATGCCTGTTATATCCAAAATGTACCTTTCTATGAGACAAACATTCAAGATAATTTTTTCACAAGGATTCACTTTTCTGATTAATAGGGCTAAGAATAAATTTGTTAAAAATGTTTATATATATATATATATATATATATATATATAATATAATATATTAATATATTTTGGAAGAAGATACCACAGTTTATCTTCTTATAAGAATAATGACTTTTATAAGATGGTGCATTTAATTTGAGCCTTAGAGCAGTAGTGAAGTACAGATTTCTATATAAATAAAATCCCCTGAGTCATTGCTCAGTTTTGCAAATTGGGCACTGCAAAGTTGAGGACTGGGCCATTTTACATAATAACCTATGTGAATGCCATCCTCTAAAGTCAATTTATGGCTAGTAAACTTATCAGAGGAGGGCATTGTGTTGAATTAAAGTGCACTGTTTTTCCAGCTTGCTTAATGTCAGGAGAGTGTTTCTGAGGTCCTAATAACTGTTTTCTCTTAAACAGATGCTTACAAAGCAAATAAACAAACACACACACACACACACACACACACACACACACACACCATGCTGATCTGTATTTTTGACTTAACTGTGTCTATTTTTTTATTCTATTTATTTAGTGTCTAGCATAATTTATTCATCAACTGTAAAAGTTAAGATTGGTAATCATACTGCTCAAAGTCTATATCAATAGGTAATCTGAGATTGGAATTGAATCCAAATTGGAATCTTCTTTTAAAGCATTTCGCAAGTTATTTTTGAGAAATTATACATGTGAAAGGGAGAAAAGGATATATAAAATAGTGTAGTAGGGGTATTATCTAGTGATCATGGACGAGTTGTATCTCTCTCTGTATATTTATTTAGTTATTGTTTTATTAACTCCTGTACTGACAGTACCTAGCATAACTTTTTTTGCAGCCATAAACTTGACTGTTAAGCATATTCAGAATCTTGAAGTGAAATTTTAAGCTTACATATGCTTTACTTAAGTTAAACAGAAATCAAAACTCTACTGGGCATTCCATTTGACCGGCAGCCTACTAACCAGATTTTCAAAGTTTTGTCTCTTCACTCACACCTATTAATAATTAACAATAATGTTCTTATCATGGTTATCTAATTTATTGTTGGTGTTGTTGTTTCTTAAAATTTATTTATGTCCAAAATTTCTGGCATTCCACTTTTTTTTTTTTTTTAAACTTTGGAATATGGCATACAATTTTATTTTTTTCTCAAAAAAACAAATACTGACATCATGCTTACAGAAGGCAATATTACATTTGAATTGGGGTGGGTTTCTACCCCATCCCATAACAACTGGCTTTATTTTGGTTTTTGGCCACATCAGGAAGGCCAACAGTCAGAGGGTAAATGTGCATCTCACCATGCAAATAAAAGAAAAAGTGACTGTATTTCCCTCTTTTCTCCCCACAGAACAATTCCCAAGATCGTGAGCATGATTGGTGGGGTATCCCACTCATGGGGAGTGGCTCTCTTCTCTGGTACGATTTCACATTCACTGGCAGAGGCATATTTTATACTTAAATTACTGCAAAGACATTATGACATGAAATTTTCTCCTTTATCCATTCTTCTCAGGCACAATGTTTGAGAAAACTTGACTTCTTATGTTTTCTCAATGCTTCTTCGCAATATCTTTCTTTAAGAGAATTCCATAAGGCCCCAGGCTGCCTCCCACATCTTCCAGGGACAGGGTTGAGACCCTTTTGGGTAGCTGGGAGGAAACCTTGGGGCAGCCACTGCCCAGGAACTGAGGTTCTGCTGTGTCTCGCCTGCTTGCTGAGGTATTTGAGTGACCAAGTGCTGCCTCAGCACATGGACTGGCCTGCAGGACCAAGAAGGAGGGAGAGATGGGGGCAACTCTTCAGCTGGTTGTACCCAGTAACTCATGGAGTGAAGGCTTCGGCCCCTGACTGTCCAGCACTGTGTTGACAGACAGTCCAGGAAGTGAGGGCCTTAGGCTGAAGCTGGTTTTGAATTTGTGATCTTCCTGACTCAGCCCCAAGAGCTGCTGGGATTACAGGCATCACCCAGCGAGTCTTTCAGTTTAATTATTATTTCCGTATGCTGACAACTGTCAATCTATTTTTCATGCTTTCTACCAATACTGAGACCTTGTGCTACCCCAAATGTTTCCAGAAATCACGTGATAATCCATTTTGATCAAAAACTAAACTCATCATCAACTCTGTGGAGTTTTTTTTTTACCAGCTGTTTCCTATGATACTAAAGGTCACCTCCAGGCAATAATCCCCCGGATTAAAATCTAAGAATGCTACCTTATTCCATGTCTTCCCTTAATACTAATTTCTTCTTATTCATCAAATTCTGTGCAATTCACAAAGAATTCTCAGGAAGGTATTTTTCTCAATCAACTGCTTTGGAAAATGTCCCTGGTGATCAGGTTTCACATTAATATCTTAATGTCTCCTTAGTGATTCCATGGCTCTCCTTTCTGTCCTTTTGCTCAGTATCCACACTAAAGATACAGGTATTTTTAGTACACTACTCGAATTATTTTATTCTTCAGCTAAATTCTCAAGTAAAATCCAAAAGACCAAATATCACTCAAAAAAGACCCCTATGATGAAGAAAATAACCTGGGAATGGTAGACTGAAAATATTCAACAACATATCTTTGTTATTGGAGCTGTGAACTTTAAAGGAAAATGGGACAATTTTATCACCATAGACATACCTTAGGTAAAGGTTTGGCAGGTTTACAGTGCAATCCTCCAACAAACTCAAAATTAGGTAAGTATGGACGAGGAAATTCAAAATCCCAATATGTCCGGATTAGCCAAATTTCAGCTTTGCCCATAGTCTCACATAATGTAGTGGGTCTTCCTGGATAAAATGAAGATTTGCGTGGAGAAATTTAATACACATATTTGCCATATTTGCTAGGAAAAAACAAAAAATTCATCACTGATTACCTTATAAGCTATTAAGGAAAAGAATGAAGATCTCTAGAATGCTTATAATGATTATATGTTAAAAGGAAGGAAGAAAAGGAAGAAGGGGATAAGGGAGAGAGGAAAGAAGGGAAGAAAGAAGAGAAAACAAAAAAAAGGACTTGGGGGCAATGAAAAACGATTAATAGGTAAGTATAGATTCATAACAGTGAAGGAAACAAAACTTTAACTACAAATATTGAGAGATTTAGTACTTGTTCTTTCTCTTTAATTTAGTGCAGAAGATAAATTAACTCCATCACATAAGCCTCATTCAAGTCACCTCTCAAAAATTTCCCAGTTTTTATTCAGGAACAGGACTGTCTTACAGCTTGTATAGTCTCATTCAAACATATTGTTGAAGAACCCATATCTATTTCAATCCAACTTTTTTTCTGAATCAAATCTTATCACTTAAATTGATTTATCATCATGTTTTCAATAAACAGTTCCTGATTAATTCACACTCAATACCCCCCTTATATGTGCAATACAAATATAAATAGTATTAATATCATATACTTATTCTAGTGTTAACTTTAAATGATGTTTTTTGAAAGGGGCAGATTCTAAGTATTAACTTTAGGAGTTTTGTGGAAAAGAATGAGTATTTGTCAATAAAGTCAACCTTTTCTACATACAAGAAAATGTGTTTTGCAACTGAGAAAAGAAAATCTCAAATAAGAATATTTTATTGCTAAGAATTCTAATCATAATTGGTAAGTATATAATTCCTGGGATAGAAAGCCTCTTTGAATAGTCATTACTTAGTAGTATTTGAAGATATGTGTGAGTTCATGTAATCATTGTCTTAATTTGATAATGAAGAAAGATTGCCCAATGAAACTCAACTTGAAATTTTCAGAGATTGGATGAAAACTTCTCTCCACATCTTCTACATCAAAATGTTTGTGTCATAGAAGTGCCTTTATTTTGGGCTGAGGATGTAGCTCAGTGGTAGAGCCTAGCTGTACAAGGGCCTGGTTTTGATCCCTACACTTCAAGTAATAGATGCTTTATTTCATATGTGCCACATCCTGCCTTCATTATGAATTCCCTAGGTGAAGTTTAGGTTCATAAGTTCTAGAACAAATTTTTAGGAAGACCAAGCTTCTTCAGTAAAATTGTGTTTTTAAAGCAGTGATCACAATTATGTACATAGAGTCAAAGAAAAATGAAAATAAATTTGAACAAATGCATACAAAATTGGCAAATAATTTCATAAAAAATTTTAAAAATTATACTGAAGAATTGTGAAATAAAAATACTGAATTAAAAATTACCATCAATTCTTTTATTGTAATTATATTATTTATATAAATAGTTATAAACATTGGGCAATTATGTGATATATAATTAATAAATTATAAAATATGAGCTGTCAAGTGAATATTGTTATTGATTGCATCTATTATTTTAAAACTAAGTCTAATGAGATGGCTTTTAATTTGAAGAACTCCTGTTAGTAACTTGAATTAATTACTACATGCCTGTCTGTAATTTATGTGGACAAGAGAAAAATTTAGTAGGTGGCATTTACCAATCTCTGAGGTGACATGTTAGCTAGACTGACATGTACAGATGATTTCTAGGCTATCTAGGTGTTTCTATTTCCAATGGAATGCGAAAAAATGTATATGCACATTTCTGGGTCACTTTTTAAAAAAAATTAAAAGTATATTCTCCATTTTACCTTCATTTTCTTTCAGGTCAGTATACAAATAACCTTGTCCAATTATTTGGGCAAAAACAGCATCACAAACTATTGTAAGAACTAAGATAATTAGTTCTTGATTCCTGGATGACTTTTTGAGTAGAACTTATTTTCTTCAGGTAGATAGTTACATGAGGGAGAAATAATTTCTGTGCATTTACGATGTTTTGTTGTATATTTTTACTGCAGCTCACACTGTGGAGTCCATTGTTTCATGATAGGCAACACATCATAGTAGCACAAACTAGAATATTGACAATGGATGATATGAGGCTGTCATATCTTACAAATACTTTGAGAACAGAATTGACAGGATCTCCATTCAGATTATTTATGTACTGTAAAAAAAGAGAGTTGGATGTACAATGATCCTAGTTATGTTTTTACCTGAGTCACTAGAAGAACTGAATTTAATTGAATAAAATGGGGAACCCTAACACCTATGATAAAGAGAAATAAAAAAGCAACGACAACACAAACCTCAAAGGTTTATATCTTTTTTACCACAGATGGATCCCAGGGGCACTTAACCACTGAGCTATATCCCCAGCACTTTTTATTGGAGGTAAACTCTTGCTAAGTTACTTGGAGCCTTGCTAACCTGCTGAGGCTGACATTGATCATTCTTGAACCTATGCCTTCTCATCAATGCCTGCCATGGTACCAAACTTCAAACTTTCTTTGTACTTAACTTTCTTACATCTTCCTTGCTAGATACTGAAAAAAAAATAATACCCATTGTTTGGATTAATCATTAAATTGGTATCCACAGTTACTTACAAGGGAATTTATCAATTCCAAAAATTAAATTAGCAAACAGAAAAGCTTACTAAGCTGTGTATCCATCCAGTCCTGAGCTTTTCTGATCAAAATTCCAATGGCATTCCCCATAGAAATAGAAAAAGGAATCATAAAATTCACCTGAAAAAATAAGAGACCCAGAATAAGTAAAGTAATCCTTAGCAGGATGAGTGAAGCAGGTGGCATCACTATACTAGACCTCAAACTATACTACAGAGCAATAGTAACAAAGACAGCATCGTATTGACACCAAAATAGACTGGTAGACTAATGGACAGAATAGAGGACACAGAGACTAACCCACAAAACTACAATTATCTTATATTAGACAAAGTTGCCAAAAACATGCATTGGAGAAAAGATAGCATCTTCAACAAATGGTGCTGGGAAAGCTGGAAATCCATATGCAACAAAATGAAATTAAACCCCTATCTCTCACCATGCACAAAACTCAACTCAAAGTGGATCAAGGACCTAGGAATTAAACCAGAGACTCTCTGTTAATAGAAGACAAAGCAGGCCCTAATCTTCATCATGTGGGATTAGTCTCCAACTTCCTTAATAAGATTCCTATAGCACAGGAATTAAAACCAAGAATCAATAAATGGTATGGAATCAAGCTAAAAAGTTTCTTCTCAACAAAAGAAACAATCTGTGAAGTTAACAGGGAGCCTACATCCTGGGAGCAAATTTCTACCACTCACACATCAGATAGAGCACTAATCTCTAGGGTATATAAAGAACTCAAAAAGCTAAGCATCTAAAAAACAAAAAACCAATCAACAAATGTTCCAAGGACCTGAGTAGACACTTCTCAAAAGTGGATATACAATCAATCAACAAATATATGAAAAAATGTTCATAATCTCTAGCAATTTGAGAAATGCAAATCAAAACTAAGATATCATCTCCCTCTAGTGAGAATGGCAGCTATTATGAAAACAAACAACAATAAGTGTTGGCAAGGATGTGGGGGGAAAAGGTACATTCATACATTTCTGGTGGGACGAAAATTGGTGCAGCCAATATGGAAAGCAATATGGAGATTCTTTGGAATACTGAGAATGGAACCACCATTTGACCCAGCTACCCCTCTCCTTGGTTTATACCCAAAAGCCTTAAAAACAGCATACTACAGAGACACAGCCACATCAATGTTTATAGCAGCACAATTCACAATAGCTAAACTGTGGAGCCAACCTAGATGCACTTCAATGGATGAATGGATAAAAAAATGTGGCATATATATATACAATGGAATATTATTCAGCAATAAAAGAGAAGAAAATCATGGCATTTACAGGTAAATGGATGGAGAAGATAATTCTAAGTGAAGTTAGCCAATCCCCAAAAAACAAATGCCGAATCTTTTCTCTGATAGAAGGAGGCTGACTCACAGTGGGATAGGGAGGAGAACATGGGAGGAATTGATGAATTCTAGATAGGGCAGAGGGGTGGAAGGGGAAAGGAGGGGATAGGGGATTAGCAAGGATGGTGGAATATGATAGACATCATCATCCAAAGTACATGTATGAAGACACGAATTGGTGTCAACATACTTTATATACAACCAGAGATATGAAAAATTGTGCTGCATATATGTAATAAGAATTGTAATGCATTCATTCCATTGTCATTTATTGGTTTTTAAATCAATTTTAAAAAAAGAAAAAAAAAGAACTAACTAACTAAAGTTTTCAAGGCAAGCATTATATGATCTTAGGATCATTCTGAACATTGATCTGAATCCTGTTTGTTAGTGGCTGCAGTCCAGAGAGTATGTCCACATATAAGTAGGAAGTCCACATAGAAAATTAAGAAATCAGGCAATTTGAAGAGGAAAAAGTAAATCACTTTTCTTCCACTCAATGTTCAAACAAAATAAAGTTTCCCAGTTTTTATGAGTACTTTCTGTCACTGAAGGGTCGTTTTCTTTATATAATAGAATAGTTTAATCCTTACTAAATATGCAGTTAGGCCCATCATTGTCTGTAGAGTGGTGGATATAGAAAATTTAATTGCTTACAGTGGATACTGAAGTGGAAAATATTTATTGTTTAATGGAACCCAAGTAAAATGGAAAACAATGTGTAAAAACATGACACAACAAGGTCAGTGTACAACTTGTGCCCATTACAAAATCTGAGCCTATAACCAGATATATTTAGAAACAAGAATGCCTACTATTTTATTTTAAATTGTTTACTGTTTTGACATTGATATAATCTAGTATCATTCATTATCTATGGACTACAGATTATAAATGAACCTCTTCATAAAGAATATCATGTTTTAACAGTCTTATTAAAAATATAAGATTAGTTAGGAGAAAAAGAGATAACTATTAGTAAGTCAGAAAAAAGTTGAAATTAGGAAAT